TTTTTTTTCAGTTTCGAATATGGTCAAGAAAAGAAGCAAAAGAAATGACAAAATACGCACTTGGTGCTGGAATCAAATGTTTGGAATACTACGAAAAACTCTTCAATTACGCCTTTCCGCTAAAGAAGCAAGGTTTCAAAAAATTTCGTTTTTGGATGTTGATTTGGAAAAATTGGAAAGATGGACCCCCCTTTTTTGCAGCATGATCAGATATGCAACTAAGCTCATTTTTAGATATGATAGCACTTCCTGATTTTTCGGCTGGTGCAATGGAAAACTGGGGAATGATTACTTACAGGTTTGCTATGAACTTATGAACTAGCTACTCAGTGCCAAAGCCATTCTTTATTCAGGGAAAATTCTCTTCTTTACGACAAAATGTTGTACGGTCCAGTAAGTAAGCTCAGGGTTTCATACGTTATTGCACATGAACTTGCTCATCAGGTAGGATCACCCCGTTTTCAAGAAGAATTGATTTAAATTAATAGCTTTTTCACTTCGCTCTACATAAAAGAGAACTAGTTAAACTAGCGAAAATAGTTAGTATCTCCTGAAAAGTTTCTATTACAGTGGTTCGGAGACCTGGTAACTATGAAATGGTGGGAAGATGTATGGCTGAACGAAGGTTTTGCCACACATGTTCAGTTCTTGGGTACGGACAAAATCAGCGATAAAAAGATGAGAATGGTAAGCTAAGCGCTATAGGTAGTACACGTTAAATGGGTAGAAGTATGATTTGTAGGAGGAGTACTTTTTGCTTGATGCACTTACGCCAGCGTTGACGCGAGATTCTATCTCTTCAAGTCATCCACTTTCCTTCCAAATCGATAAAGCCGGAGAAGTTTTTGAGGCTTTTGACACAATCTCCTATCAAAAAGGAGCTTCAGTACTTCGAATGCTCTTGGCTATCATTGGTCGGGAGAATTTTGAACGTGGTATTGCGGTAAGTCAAAATATCCTGTAGGATTAACAAGAGTATCCCACGCAGCCTTAAACCTTTTTTTAAAATTATTTCATTTAGCACTATGTGTCAAAGTTCGCCTATAAAAACGCGCAAGCTTCTGATCTCTGGGAAGCTATGGATGAAGTTCTCGGCGACGTTTCAGGTCCAAATGGAAAACTGAAAATCGCTGAATACGCTGATCAGTGGACCATACAGGTTTTTCAAAAGTGTACAGTTTTACTGAAAGATAATCTGTTGTCCTCAGATGGGATTCCCCATTGTTACTGTCCAATGCAACTCGACGCATGCAAAAGTGACGCAAGAACGATACCGTCGTAATCCCAATGCTAAGGATCCTAAAAAATACGCGAATCCAAAATATGGGTAATAAACAACATATTTTCTATGAACTCCTAAGCACCATAAGCAGCAGCGCCACCTTTAAATATTTGCTTTAGATTCAAGTGGGAAGTTCCAATTTGGTACCAGGAAGGTGGTGGTGAAGTGCAACTAGCTTGGTTAGGTAGAGGTAGGAAAACAAATCTTCATTCATAATGAAAAGTGGACTACCTCTTTTTCTTACTAGCAAATTCCAGGAGGAATATAAGAAAAATAGTACCTCCTTACATTATGATCAGTTGAGAGTTGTCTCTGAAAACTAGCACCAAGATCTTT